CGCAGCACCGAGGGTTGCGATCCCGTTGCCGGTCCCGGTCCGGTACGGGCGCGACACTGAGGGTTGCGATCCGTTGCCGGACACAAAAAAAGACAAAAAAAAAAAAAAAGAGGGGGACTCCATTCCTGACTCTAATGCTAAGTAGCCATATAACCTTTTGGCAATTTACATATTCCCTTCTTTAATTTCTTCCTCTGTAAAATGGGAGTAATAGGAGTATCCACCTCATTGTGAGAATTAAATAGTTAAAATGTGTTGAAGATTTAACACGTTGCTTGGTACCCAGTAAGTGTTCAAAAACCAAAATGAAAAAGCATTACTGTGTAAATGTTATTAATACCTTACGAAATTCAGAAAGTTAACTAATTATTGACCAGGATGTTCAGGCAATACAAATTCTAATACTGAAAGCTAGAAAGTCATCTGCCTGCTAAGATTTAGCTGAACCATAGTATAACTGGAAATTTCAGTCAGCTGGTTGGGGTAATGCAAACATCTTGCATTTGATATGTCAGGAGTTGGGGTGGTGCCCTAAGGACATTCATGTCAGGCACAGGATGGGCTGTTTGCAGCCTTCTTAATAAATCTCAGTCAAGCCTACCACTTATTCAAATAGCAGAGAAAATTAAACTGTGTGGTGTGGGAGAGAGCCCTGGCCTGAGGGCCAGGAGAACCACGTTCTGGGTCTTAGAAAGTCACTTTGCCTCAGTGTTTTTGTATCTACAAAACACTGATAATACAAAAACCTGATACAAAAACCTGATAATCTTTACCATCTCTTCTCTAATACTTAAAATTACTTCATGACATTACTGTACCATCTGATTTTTTTTTTAACATGACATTAAATTTAGAAAATTGTATATTTTACTGAAATCTTTCCTATTCATAACCCGAATGGACACCAAAAAGCATAAATAATGGTTTAGTAACCCAGGAAATTAGTTTTGGACAAAATTACATGGTAACTATAGATTCAACTTCTTGAATAAGAAAAATTCCAAATACTGCAATGCATGAAACATGATCCATATCTTTTCTTTCACCAGAAAAGTAGAAAGATTTCCAGAAAAAGAAAATATTTACATTTAATTTTTAAAATTTATACATCTACAAGTTTGATATAAGTTGTAATTGATGGTTATGATGATTAAAACGTATTTTTTATAAAGATAATTTTTAAGGAAGTAAATTAAGGTAAATTTAACAGACTTCAAACACATGTAGAAAGGAAAATTATTTTTGGCTAGAGTGCATATTAATTCTTCAGATATTTATTTGTAACATTTAGGCAGTCACTAGAAAGTAAACTCCTTAAGGGTGGAGACTTTTGTTTGTTCAGTGTTTTATCTCTAAAGCCTAGAACAGCAGTACTGGGGTGTATAGTAAGTGCTCAATAAGTAAATATGGAATTAATGAATAAATGGACACTGGGCTCCCAAATCATTCAACAGATGTATATTTAATTAATTGTATTAGTAAAAGTATGATAGAATTACTA